TATACATCTTCGGTTTTAATATGTAATACAAAACTGTCAGTATCAGTATATAACATTCTGATATTATTTTTATATTTCGGTTTCATAATGTCATAGTAAAATGAATACATATGTTGTTTTGATAAATCTAAAATACTCATTCCTACATATATTGGTTTATTCAATTTAACTACACTTTTTGCTTTTTCAACTCCTATAAGATTTTCATTGATGATATGCCTGTATTTGAAATTAGGATTATTAACACATTTTTGGTATCGTTCAGGTGTATCAACCAGCTCAAAGTCAATGTGTTCTCTCACATTTTCCATAGTCTTGCCGTATACAGCGTTGTTCATTAATTTGTACATATCTTTTGAAAAGTCGCTTGTAGCGTTCTTTCGCTTCTCTGTGTTAAAGTCAATCCACGGTTTCAACCATTGCTTGTGTCTAAATTCTATTACTCTGTTTATTTTCTTGATTTTAAGTCCTTGTTTCAAATAGAATTTTAAAATGTCAATATGTAAAACATAATTTTGTTTATCCATAACATTTAGTATCAACTTGTTTGTTTTCTCATCTTTTGGAGCATGATTAAAATGATATGCTTTGTAGGTTTCTTTCTGATAATCACTAAGCATATCTGCTGATACACTCATAATTTCTGGTGCTAATGGGTAATCAGTATGTTTGTCGTGGCATTCTTTCGGATATTCTAAATCAACATCTAAAATATATCCTTTGCTACTGTAATCACTATTGTAATATTTAATGTCTTCTTCTGAGAAATTATCTTTTACAAATCTTATTTTCTTGTATGGTAGTTTCTTACACATTGCCAGACCATAAAGATTATTAGCATCTAAATAATTGATGTAGGACGACGGCTTTGTTTCATCATAAGCATCTCCCATATACTTATTATTAGCAGTTGCTTTTCTCATTGAAACCTGACACATACCGCCTCCTAGTCCTTGCTCTATCATTTTATAAACTTCTTCATCGTGTAAAAGTTCAAGTTCAATTCCTGTTTTCAATAACATCGCGTCCCAAGCAAAGTTAGGCAAAGTGTAGTAATGGGCGGGGTCTAATTCATAATCTGTTAGACATTGTTTTCTGAAATTCTCATATACATCTGTTAATAATAACACATCGGTTTCTAGATATAAATCATGATATTCGCCAAGGTTTTTGATGTTAAAGTGCTTCCATATTAGTTTTGCTCTTTCATAGTCAGCATCGCTTATATCTTCTTCGCTTAATCTACTATAAAAATGTTTCTTTTCTGGTAGTTCAGTGTCATTAAATTTATTGAAGTCATTACAATAATCATAAGGATAAACTCCCTTTTCTGTCAGTAAAAATAAATCTTTTTCATTTTTTATGTATTTGCCTTTGACACTGTATTTAAAATGTTCCTGCCAGTTGTCCCTTAATTTATTATCTTCATATTTTGTTAATTTAACAAGTTTATCTAATGATGATGACAAGAAACTGAAACTATCCTTAAATTCAAGTCTGTTTAATGAAAAGGTAACAAACTTCTCACTGTTATGTGCTATTACTGATATTTGTTCTTTCTTTGTATTTAACTTTTCAAGATTAGAAATTATTAGGTGAGCATCATAGTTTTTAAGATTGTGAAAGAATACTGGTATATGATATTTTTTAAAGCAATAGTCTATATTGCATTTCATATGTGCCGCTCCTCTGTATAATCCAGTAAAGTGGCAATGGTCAGCAACTTTCTTTTTCGCTTCTACTCTGTTGTCAAAAGTGCCATTGCATAAGAAACACTTTTTAGCTTCTAAATGTTTAATTTCATCTAAATCTGACATAATCATATCTTTTGGATTTTTCATTTGTTTCATTACATCGTCTCTAATATTGTTTAATGTATCACAAAATTTATCCATACAATCATCACCTCTATATAAAAATGGTTTCATTTCTCCACTGTAAGCATTAACAAGGTTAAGCATATAACCGCTGGGTTTATGGTTCTGATAAGTCCCTTTGATGCCTTCTGATGTTTCTGTTGTTAAACATTCAAAATCACCGTAAATAACAAAGGGCGCTTTCAGTTTCTTAAAATGCTTTTCAAACTTCATTGTTGTTCCTTCTTCTGGCATTTTTGTTTGATGAATGTCATTTGCCATACAACCTTTTGATATGTGAGCATTTAAAAGCTTTTCTGATTGAAAACCGTGCTGACAGTAAATACAATGAAATATCTTTGTTTTGTGATTGTTGGTTTGACTACCCATTAATCTATTATAATCTTTTATTAAAACATAATGTTCGTTATTGTTTTGTTCAATTCGCAACAAATTAATATGACAAGATGGTCTTTCAATCTTCGTTATTCTGTCTGCTCTGATGGTTTGGTTCTCATCTTCAACATAAACATTAACTGATATAGAATTTTGGTTATTTGTTTCAAATGTGTCAATGTCATCGTTGGATGTTGGAAAATTCACACCATCCCATTGAATTAGACTTTCAGTAGTTATTAATTTCTTGTAGTGTCTCATATGTTGTGGATGGTCTTTCTTGAAGACTTCATAAAATTTACATAAAACACAATATTTAAAACATAATTCATCATCATTTTGAATGTTGATACATGCTTTTTTCTTTGAAATCCATTCTGGTAGTTCCATATATCTTCCTGCTCTGTTCGGATTGTATTTGTCGTAGTGGATGGTGATTTTGTTAATCTTATTAATCTTCAATCCTGAATGTTTCAAAGGTGAGTTTTCAATTTGTAGTTCAATATCTTTAGGCATATTTTCCAATGCTTTTTTCAAGTCTCCTACATTCAAAATGTTGTATCTCCTACTCCTCATATCGTGTTTTATTTGTATATTTTCCTCAGTTGGTTCGTCTTCTCCATCATCATCATCTTGCTGGTTAACTTTATCAAACAGAACCTCAACATCAATCAGTAGTTTCATTGACTTTGCTTGTTGTAAAAACTCGGTTAGTTTCTTTTCTTGCCATAAAAGATATGTTAATCCTTTGTATCCCTTGAATGGTATGTTGGATATTGAATATGTGTTGGCGTACCCTTCCAATGCCGAAAATGTCTCTGATGTTTTTGCTCCTATTTTTAATCTGTATTTCTGGATTGTTTTAATTCCTCTCATTGTGTTTGATGCTTTTTTTAGAAGATTAAATCGTTTGAAACCTTGTGTGTTGCTGACTTGATTGAGTTTGTTTTGAAGTGATGAGGATAATGGTTTGTCTTTGTTGTAATAGTATTCTTTGTTGTTGATGATTAGTTTTTTCAATGGTTTGTTATTCTTCCCTGTTTTTATTTGACCTTCATTATTGGATAATAGATATTCAATTACTGAACCCGTGCTGTATTCCCCTGCCATTTCTCTATACTATATATGGTATTTTCTCTTTAAGTATATTTGGGGGGCGGGTTGCTGGTGGGTCTGGGTTTGAGGTTATGGATGTTGTTGATGTGAGGGTTTAGGGAACAACCCGAAAAGAGTTTGGGAGGACACCCCAAAAACGAGTTTGAGGGACAACCCCAAAAGAGTTTGTGAGGACACCCCAAAAACGAGTTTGAGGGACAACCCCAAAAGAGTTTGTGAGGACACCCCAAAAACGAGTTTGAGGGACAACCCATTTGACCGAAACCCTCTGGGTGCCCACAACGCGTACTCCTCGTCATCAACCTGGCACGGAGTCAATGGTAAAAGTGTAGGATACAAAATGCCATGCTTCTGATTGTTAAGGATGGCGCACGACAGACATTAAACGAAATGTTTTTCACATCGAGAATGTCTGGTCTGTGTTCAGTAGGAATTACAGCAACTACCACAATATCACAACCCACATTTAAAGGGTTTTGATTAAATGGGTCTTGATTAAAACAAGTTTAGGGTCAAAAGTGCTTTTGTAGCACAACCCCATTTAATAGCACCGCAACGGTGCTCACAATGCACCGCAACGGTGCTCAAAATGCACCGCAACGGTGCTCAAAATGCACCGCAACGGTGCTCACAATGCACCGCAACGGTGCTCACAATGCACCGCAACGGTGCTCACAATGCACCGCAACGGTGCTCACAATGCAACGCAACGGTGCTCACAATGCACCGCAACGGTGCTCACAAGGCATCCCTCACATTATGGAACAAGCACCTGCTTCTTCTTGAACTTGTTGTTGTTCAGCTCCTTCATCAGACCTTCTTCTCAATCCCCTCCTGTATGAAATAGTGTTTCCCATGAGGGTTTTGAACTTGCCAATGTCATAAGCGACATCATTCCCCTTCGTGGAATTGAACTCCGCCAAGAAAGCCTTGACCCAAAGTTCAACCAATTCACTACGAAGTCCCTTCAAATACGAGCACCACAAGTCAATTTCCTCCAACTTGTCAAGTGCTATTGTGGCAGATTCGTAAATCTTATCTTCCACATATCCGGAGTGCTTGTTGAAGGTGTTGTCAAGACGAGCGAGTTGTTCATCACTGCATTGGTTGAGCAACTTTTCAATGACCTGCTCGTTGGAGCTCACGTCGTGTCGAACACGTTGGAGTTGGTCAAGCAAAGGTTGCACTGCGGAGCGAAGGGCAACTGGCGGAGGTATAGGTTCTTCTGGTGTTTCAACATGACGATGTCTCTTCTGTATCTTCTTCATAGATTCCTTCACAACCTTGTTCATTGCCTGCTCCTTGTTCTTCACATAGAGGTTCAAGACCATTGCTTTTAAGGTCAAGATGCAAACTACACACAGGAGCGTGAGGGTGGTTTAAGTAAAATGCCTTCAAGAGAGCATCAATGCTTCAAGCACGGTCAAGATTGAAGACATTGACTTCTTGATGAACGCTTTTTTCAACTGTCATCTGGTTTTGAATGCGGTTTCCCCCAAGCCCGATTTCTGCCATCATACCAACTGCCTTGTGATGGACGCCCTCAATCAACACAGCTGTGAGTTGTTTAGATGAACATATGTGTTTTGAGGGTTTCAGCAGTCAATGTGGCATTTGAATGAGACTTACAAACTACTGCTCATTGTCGTCCTCCTCGGATTCTTCATCTTCAATCACTGCACTCATTGGGATGTAGAAGTAGCTGTTGAAGGACGGGGGGAAGCTCATCGCAAACGGGATGTTGTCGATGTTTCCCAGAGACTTGATGCCCTTGCGTGGGTTGTTGGAGTAGTCCCTGCTGTCAATGTTGATGTAAAGAGCCCTTGCCACTGCCTTTGCCATAGGACGCTGACCTGTCTTTTTCAAAAGGGAGTTCAACGCCTCGACCACCTTGAAGCGGATGCCCCCCACCGTGGTGTCATCGGCCACCGTGATATAAACCTCATATTCGTTGCCCTTGTAGTGGAGCAAGACCGTCAGCTTCTTTGTGAAGGTCTTGGGGTTGGCACTGCGAGACTTGAGAGCATTTTTGACCACTGTCTGTTGATCCTTCACTTTCTGCAACTGTTCGGACAACCGCTGGTTCAACTCTTCAACTGTGTCATTGGAGCTTCCTGACAGTGTGGTGTTCAACTCTGCAATGTCTAAGGCGAGGAGCTGAGCAATCAATGCCTCCGTTTCGGCATCGGTGTCATCCTTGTTCATAGGAGTGATGACCTTCTTGGGAGCCATTGCTGACAACACCAAAGTGCGAGATTGGAGAGCAAACTATCCGAAATCGCTTTTGAGCAGTCAGTCGCGTTGTGGGTTCAATGCTTTTGGCACTAACAGTGAGTCGTTTGACATATTGAAAGCATAAACAGGCAAGGCACACCATTTTTGGTTGATGACGAGGATGATGTCATCCAGACAAAAACAAACAAACACAAGACACAGAACATGTCGCACGTCCAACCGCCCCTCGAAGTCGAAAGCGTCGCTGACAAAGTTCATGATGTATTACCTGCGAGGAGCAAAGTCGCGTTGTGAAAAGAAATCGTTGTTATATCAACATCTATAACAGAAACCCGTGTCCCCCAGAAAGCTTAAAAATTGTCTGAAACCCGAACCTTGAAAATGATGAAATCTTAGACTGTTTCATAATGAAAAAATTGTAAAAAAATGTTGAGAAATTTTAGGAAAATTCCCCACAATCCCCCTTGGTGTTTTGGACAAAATGGTTTGCTTGTTTAATTTCATCCCTGCCCCTGAAACCTTGAATTGAAAATACCCTACCTCAGGGCCCCCCTTATAACCATTTTTTACCCCAGCCCCCCACCGTACACAAAGCCAAGTGTCTGGTGTGCCATGGGGGACCGGATACTTTGAGGAGTGTTTGGTGAAGGGGCGCTGTTTTACGTTGAGGCCCACTCCCGTCACAAAACGCAATGGCACACTGCCTCCGGTCAAGATAATGAGAAGATTCAGTCAACTAACACATGGGAGTCTGGTTCCTTGTGTTGTTCAGCTGTGTGCCAGTAGGATTCGAGGTGATAGAAGTTGCAGGCTTAGATGTTGCTGGCGACGCAAGTGCTACCCCAGCCCCCCACTGCAGCCCCCCACTGTACACAAAGCCAAGTGTCTGGTGTGCCATGGGGGGCCGGATACTTTGAGGAGTGTTTGGCGAAGGTGCGCTGTTGAATGTTGAGGCCCACTCCCCTCACAAAACGCAATGGGACACTGCCTCTGGCCAAGATAATGAGAAGGTTCAGTCAACTAACGCATGAATCGCATTGGCACACGCAGTCATCCTCAACAAGATTCCTAGAACAGCTTGCGTTGTTGAAGCTGGGGCTTTGCGAGGCCAATCGCATTGGCACAATCAATCATCCTCAACAAGATTCCTAGAACAGCTTGCGTTGTGGAAGCCGGGGCTTTGGGTGGCCAATCGCACTGGCGCACGCAATCATCCTCAACAAGATTCCTAGAACAGCTTGCGTTGTTGAAGCTGGGGCTTTGTGAGGCCATTCGCATCGGCACACGCAATCATCCTCAACAAGATTCCTAGAACAGCTCGCGTTGTTGAAGCTGGGGCTTTGGAAGGCCAAGCTCGTTGGCACACGCAGTCATCCGCAACAAGATTCCTAGAACAGCTTGCATTGTTGAAGCTGGGGCTTTGGGAGGCCAATCGCATTGGCACACGCTTGAAAAACACGTATCTTCAACAAGTGCTTGTAAGACGTATTAGGCTAAGGCCGACAGTCTGCTTAACACATCAATTGGTTTCAACGGCCTGCTTTTCAGGCTGAGGCCTAGGTGGGTTGCGGCTGCACGTTTTCTTTCTTTTCGGACTCGTTTTAGACTCGTTTTTGGACTCGTTTTTTTCCTGGGTAAACTGCCAAAAACTTAACACAAGGCACCTCCTACTACTGCTACTACTACTACCACCACGACTACTACTACTACTACTACTACCACGACTACTACTACTACTACTGCTAGTACTTCTACTACACTACTACTACTACTGCTACTGCTACTGCTTCTGCTACTACTACTACTACTCCTGCTGCTGCTGCTACTACTACTACTACTATTACTACTACTACTACTACTACTCCTGCTGCTGCTGCTGCTGCTGCTGCTGCTTGTGCTACTACTACTACTACTACTACTACTACTGCTACTACTACTACTACTACTACTACAACATATATATATATATGTTTAAACAGTGCTCGGTTGCGGTTGGTTCTGTGATGTGCCATGGGGGTTGCTTGTATTTGTCGCTTCGAGAAATGTGTTCAAGATGTTTGGTTGCCTTTGCGTATGCATGTGCCATGGGGATTGCCTTCACACTAGCACATGAACTTGTGTTTGAAAGAATTGTTTCAGTGTTGTTGAGCATGCAATGTGCCATGGGGATTGCCTTCTTTTCGGCGAGCAAGCATACATAGTCAAGGAAAATTTCGGCCCCAACCGGTATGTGATGTGCCATGCTGGTTGCCTTCTTACTCATACTTAGACATGTGTGCTTCAAATGCGTTTAAGCGCCTCGTAATATGCAATGTGCCACGGGGATTGCGTCCGTAGTGGCGCTCAAGCAAAGCAGTTTCAGGAGACACGTTGCGGTTGATTATGCAACGTGCCATGGGGGTTGCCTTCATTTTTGTGCTTAGAAAAGGTGTTTTCAAGATGTGTTTGGTTGCTTTTGGGTATGCTTGTGCCATGGGGATTGCCTTCGTACTAGCACATGAACTTGTTTTTGCAAGAATTGTTTCGATGCTGTTGAGCATGCGATGTGCCATGGGGATTGCCTTCTTTTTGGCGAGCAAGCGCACATAGTCAAGCAACATTTCGGTCCCAACTGGTATGCGATGCGCCATGCTGGTTGCCTTCTTACTCATGCTTAGACATGTGTGCTTAAAATGCGTTTAAGCGCCTTGTAATATGCGATGTGCCATGGGGATTGCGTCTGTAGCGGCACTCAAACAAAGCAGTTTAGGAGACACGTTGCGGTTGATTATGCAATGTGCCATGGGGGTTGCCTTCATTTTTGTCCTTCGAAAAGATGTTTTCGAGATGTGTTTGGTTGCCTTTGGGTATGCATGTGCCATGGGGATTGCCTTCGTACTAGCACACGAGCTTGTTTTTGCAAGACTTGTTTCGATGTTGTTGAGCATGCGATGTGCCATGGGGATTGCCTTCTTTTTGGCGTGCAAACACACATAGTCAAGCAACATTTCGGTCCCAACTGGTATGCGATGTGCCATGGGGATTGCCTTCTTACTCGTACTTAAACATGTATGCTTAAAATGCGTCTAAGTGCCTTGTAACATGCGATGTGCCACGGGGATTGCGTCCGTAGTTGTACTCAAACAAAGCAGTTTTAGGAGATCGCGGTTGATGATGCAATGTGCCATGGGGGTTGCCTTCATTTGTGTGCTTCGGAAAAGGTGTTTTCAAGATGCATCTGGTTGCCTTTGGGTATGCGTGTGCCATGGGGCTTGCCTTCGTACTAGCGCGCATGAGCTTGTTTTCGCAAGAATTGTTTCGATGATTTTGAGCATGCGATGCGCCATGGGGATTGCCTTCTTTTTGCGCGAGCAAACATACATAGTTAAGCGACATTTCGGTCCCAACTGGCATGTGATGTGCCATGCTGGTTGCCTTCTTACACGTATGCTTAAATGCGCTGAAGTGCCTTGCAATATGCGATGTGCCACGGGGATCACGTCCGTAGCGGCGCTCAGACAAAACAGTTTTAGGAGACACATTGCGGTTGATTATGCAATGTGCCATGGGGGTTGCCTTCATTTTTGTGCTTCGAAAAGATGTCTTTGAGATGTGTTTGGTTGCCTTTGGGTATGCATGTGCCATGGGGATTGCCTTCGTACTAGCACACAAACTTGTTTTGCAAGACTTGTTTCGATGTTGTTGAGCATGCGATGTGCCATGGGGATTGCCTTCTTTTTGGCGTGCAAACACACATAGTCAAGCAACATCTTGGTCCCAACTGGTATGCGATGTGCCATGGGGATTGCCTTCTTACTCGTACTTAAACGTGTATGCTTCAAATGCGTTTAAGTGCCTTGTAACATGCGATGTGCCATGGGGATTGCGTCCGTAGTGGTACTCAAACAAAGCAGTTTTAGGAGACACTTGGGCGCCGTGTGCCAGTGGGGAAGGCTCAGTTGCAAGGACCCTGCCGGGACTACTCGTTGCGTTGTTTTTACTGGCAGGCTGCGGACTTTCAAGAAAAACACGAAAATGCAAGGACTTTCGCGTTTGGGTGTAGAATATCATGCGCAAACAGCCAGGGACAATGTCATCGACGTCCGGTCTGCGCGTTGTTGGCTACAGGTGTCCATCGAATAGCAGTCGGCAGTGCAGACTTGCTGCTGAGGGAGACTGTTGAAGAAGCTGACGAAGTCGTTGTGGTGATATCGTGTCGCTGGCGACGGTAGCCGCGAATGAACTTCCATCTGACAGGAGCGGTCTGCAGTCCCCACACTGTAGACCAACTAAAAGCTGCGATTGCTGCCTTGAGCGGACGCCGATGGCGAGCAAACTTGGCCCCACCGCCAGTTTTTCCTGCGTTTACGGAATACTCGAGGAAGTTGCGCTGGTTCGAGAGTCGGTGAGATCGCGGGGAGCGAGGAGGAAGTGCTCCAGCTTGTCAGGGTTCCTTCTGGCAGGGTTTTGAACTAGCTCGGATGCAGACCCTCGCATGAGTCTGCATGGATGCGGAGGCATCCTCGATGCATGCAAAGCGTTCAGACATTACTCCATGACAACCAAACACGTATACGTATTACATAAAGACCAGTAAAGACACAGACGCGCTCACGCTTACAGTATGTAAACAGACCTTAATGTGGCTTTCTAGTGTTGCTTCCGTTGTTGGGGGGGAATTCGCAAGTTTGTGCGCTGGAGGGGCCGCAAAGCTTCTGCTGGCTCATGGCGTCGACATCTCCCACAGAGACAAGGACCTCGAGTCAGCCGCGGCAACAAGAGTTGGCCAATTTCCTGTGCGCATTTGCCAAGCATCACGCCACGTTGGGTGTTGTACCCCATTGCCCCAGGACGGTGTCTCAGTTCTAGGCGCCGCCACTTCTGGCACCTGCAACGAGGCAGGGTCGGCAGAGCCCGCGCTTCCCAGGGGTGGAGCGTTTTTTTTTGTTGTTTCTTTCTTTTTTTTTTTTCCGGGGCTAGGCTACTTCTGTGGAAAGAGGTTCTGCATAGGCACCAAGCGCGTTTCCCGAGTTGGAAATGTAGTTGGGAGGAGGAGTACTCGGAGTTCAAACGTTAGGTTCCAAGATTTTCCTGCTAGGTAGGGGCCACAGCAGGCACCGCAGGTAGGGCTGAGATGTTTCGGTTCTTGTGTCTCCTCAGATATACGGACACGTTCTCCTCCCAGCCAGACTAGGGCACAGCATGACCCTGGGTAGAAACTGACGCCATCCTTTTGCCAAACTCGTCAATATCCAAGTGCTGCCATTTTAGTGGGATTAACGGGTGTTTGCGAATTCGTTTGTTTGCTTGCTGGCTTGCCTGCTTGTTGCGCGCTGGTTGGTAGGCCGGTCCCCGTCCGTCAGGAGCTGGTCCTGGCGCTTTTGGCCCAGGGCCTGGACGTCAACAAGACGGCCGGCTCGCCGCCGCATCCTCGAAAGGGGGAGGGCTGAAGTGTCGCATGGCGCACGCAGTCCTCGTTTGCTGCGACCAAAAAGCATGCGATTGCAGAGGATGTTGGCCAAGTTTTTGTGTACTGGAAGCCCCCCCCTTCCAGGTTGCGCGATGCTGTCAAGAGCAATAAGAAGGGCGTGGTGGAATCACTGCTGCGGCCTCGCCTGCTCGATATCATGCAAAATTGGTGGCTTTGGCTTCACAGCCGTGGCAACTCATGCCTGCCTATCTTGGCGCCTTTCAACCGGGAATGTATGCAGATGGTTTTGGGCGTCGGGCCAAGGCTCACGCATGGTGCGAATGTGAATTCCACCAGCAGCGGTGCCACGGCGCTGCACGCTGCTTGTGAGCGCGGGGACGAGTACCTTGTGCACTTGCCCGCCCTGCATGTTTCAAGCTTCCCTGCTTGCACTGCTCGTTGTTTGTATCCCTGGCACCGCAGTCATCGGCCTAAGCAGTGTCAAGCAGGGCTTGACAGTAAGCATGTGAAGCATGAGTCTCGCCAGACGTTTCCTACCATGGGTGCAGCCCTGTCAACGCTTGTTTGGACCTTGCACTCTGGGAGGCTGGTCCGGTCCCGCGCTGACCCTTCCATCAATGACGAATCTGGAGCAACAGCCTTTGTGCAGGCCTCAGCCGGCCCTCCGGAGAGAGGTTTGTTTTCTAAAGCGCAGAACTCTCAGAATGCACGGTTTCCCATTTGCTTTCCCTTCAAGCCCGAAGAAGTTACCATCAGGGCACCCAAAATGGCGAGGTAGTTGATTCCAGGTTTTCAAGGGCCATGCTTCAATGCGGCGGTGACCATGGCAGCGTCCGGCTCCTTTTCTTGTCAGACAGCTCGAGCCACATGCCACCGTGCTGAGAATCACCGCGAAAGTAATTCTAAAGAAAGCGAAACCCGCGAAAGCAAAACATGGGGTCGAAGGGTTTGTGAAAGCAAGTTCATAGTACCGCTTTTGACACAAGAATATTCGGCACGGCTCACCTGTTTGCTTATGAGGCCATGTAAGGCTGGCAATTGATTGTCAGAGGTGGGCTTTTGGAGCAATCCTTTTTGCCCAATACTGTGGGTTTTTGCTGTGCCCTAAGCCGAGAGCCATGCATGCAGCTTGCTTGTGTTCGGTCGGAAGAAGGCATGTGCGTGTCAAAATCAGTGTGGTTGCCAAAGGTATATCCCTTTAAGTTTCCCTGTTGAAAACCGATAGTTTTGTGCCGAGGCATGCCAAAAGGCATCCACGTGAAAAGGCAGTCTGCATTTCTTCTTTCCTTAGGGGAGGTGAGGCCCCATAGCGTTGAGGCAGGGAGGGTCTCCTAAGGACTTGCTACGCCGCCGTGGGCTTCCTGATGGAAAGATCGTGGCAATGTGAGGGGCTTGTGAGGGCGCCGTGCAGGGCAGGCCACACCAAGGTTAGTGATTTCCTCCAGCATTTGAAGCAACGCGGATGGTCAAAGTTATTGCTCAACTGCCTGTGTCAATGACTTGTACACGTAGCAAGCCAACCTGCCTTGAGCAGCATTCAACGAGAGCGCATTTTGTTCCCCGCTTGAAAGAAAAGGATTTCGTCACATTTGGGAAGAGCAGCTATTTAGGATCAGCCAGGGTTTCAATGTTTTCTTTGTTTGGGGACAGAACTCCATGGTTTCAGAAATGCTGCCAAGCAAAGGGTCAAGGAAGGCAAACCCACCAGGCGCATAAAACCGGAGGCCTCAGATCAACGGTTTTTGTGCGCAAAGAGCCCGCGGCTTTCCCAGGGCTCAAATCAAGGCCTGCCTCTGGAAACGTTTGCCGTGCTTTCAGGCTGAGCCCTCCAACCTCAGATGACGATGGTGGCACCGGAAGCGCGGCGAGCGGCCAAGGCGGGAGCTCGAGAGACGGGTGCTCTGCGGCTTGGTCCGAAGTTGGTCTAGTCTTTTTGGTCACATTTTTCAGATCCATGGGAGCTGCTGGGATTGGCAAGTGCACCTGGGATGCGAATTGCAAGCCAACGCCCATGATAGATTCCAAGGCTTGGTTCTTCCTGCAAGTGTTGCCAGCTTTCGGCTTGCTCCGTTTCAAGTAAACCATGGAGATGTCCCTTGTCTAGAAGTTTTGGCCATGGCACATCTGGAGCCGAAGAGCGAATGAACCCCCTCGCCATAGCGTTGCCCTCGCGCAAGCGGCAGGTTGACACCAGCCCGCCAGAGTCCTGGCCCGCTTGCGAGATGTTTCAAGTTAGGGTGGGGGGCAGTCGAAGATCTTAGTGCGTGGAGCAATTTGCTGAATGCTGTTTGCCAGGTGCTTTCTTCTGAGAAGAGCCGAGTCCCGCTGGGTGCGACCAGTTTTTTCTTTTTCGTTGGCAATTGTTACCTTTGCCGGTGGCAAGCGTACCTGCCTTTTCCGAACCAATTCAGTGCTTGGTCTGACCCAAGTCAGCCCTGCACCTGAGGAGGTGCAGTGATTGCCAAGCTGTACAAGCATGATTCAGCTGTGAAGCTAGCAGCTGCTCAATCCGCTCAGAAACAGGCGGCACTGTTGTTTTTGAGTCATTATGTAGCTCAGTCTGCTCAGTCTGAGCTTGCCACGAGCTGCTCAGTCTGAGCTTGCCATTTCTGGGTCCTGGTTTGGGGATTCGGGTGGCTCAAGATTGCGTATCATCTTCACGAGACCGACACGAAGCTCCCCAAGCTACATGACGTGATTGTAGCCAACCTAGTTTTGGATTGGCACAGGGGTGACGCACCGCCAACAGGCAGGAGCCCAAGCGTGCACTGTTCAGGTGTTGAACTTTTCCAGGCAAGCTTCGTAACATTTGATGTCCCACTCCACTTGACATGCTAGCCGCTAGCTTTGCATGGCGCACTCCGAAGGCACGGCGGGCTGCGATTCCATGCGGTTCACGGTCCGAAGCGAGGATTTGGGCTTCCATTGCACCCTTCAGTGTTTGGGATGAGCAAGCAGTGGCGGGAGACAGTCTTGCTTTGCAGCAGCCCCAAAGTGCCGCCTCCGCATGCCTGGAAACTCCTTTTGGCCAAACTTTCAGCCGCGGGCTCGAAAGGCGCCTTTTTGGTGTCCTCCGGTGGGCATTATGTCTAATTATGATGTTCGAGAAAAGCTGTGGTGTTTTTGCTTTGCCGACGGCGTATTTTTTAAGTGCAGCGCAGTATGAAATGGCTGCCACAACATTTACTAGTTTCCTGCCTGACCTGCGTGCGTGCACGAAATGTGGCAAGCGCTAGACCATATTTGCACAAGCTGCCCCTTGCAAATTGCCACCCCTTTTAAAACTGCTGGCTTCAGATGGGTGGGTTGCCCAGCTTATACTCGGATAGCCGCCGAGTACAGAGGCTTTTCGCACCATCAGGGCTACGGCGGCAACACGATGGATTATGCCGGAAAGACGCGTCCAGCCAGAACTGCCCGCCAAAGGTGTGTTCCAAGGGTTCCCTGGGATTGCAGGTTGATGGGATTTGGACGCATGTTGCGACTTGGGGGGGGGTATCATTTTGAAGCTTCAGAGCACGAAACGCACACAAACACATACCAAAAATAATGTTTTGATGGGGGAAGATTGTGTTCTAATGGGGAAGGTTGCGGGATGATGGGGGACCGTGTTCTCGTTTTACTTTCCCGGCTGAAACCGCCAAAAAGAAGCCATCATTCTTGTGGTTGTCTCCGAGTCAGACACGCCCAGGGAGTCCAGAGTTGGGCTCGGCTGACGTGCCAGCTGCGCTGCGCTTTGCGCACCAGGACACGGAAAACGAACGGGACCAAAGGGCTCAAGGGCCGATGCCTTGTGGATTATGTGGATTTGTGTTTTTATTCTTGGTATCCGTTACTACCCGTTTCAGGATTTTCAGGGTTGGTTGGGCACACACCCATGTGTCACCCTATGCGGGGCATGGTTTAGGCAGGCACTTTGTGGTCGGCAAGCTATGAATTGGATAACCGCTCGAAATACAGTACCCTTGAATTGACAAGCCGCAACCCCTTCAGAAGCATATATGATCGCGTTTCCACTCTACAGCCACCACGTAGCGTTGCATCCCAATACAATACTGTGTCAGGCGTGCTCCTTTGGTCTTGCTAATGACAAGCCTGCAAAGCCTGGCTATTGCCAAGCAAGCTGATGCCTGTGTTTTCCAGGTAGCAGGTCTTCGGAGCCTTGGTCGGGCAGCCCAGTTGAGCAGCTTGGACCCCGGTGGTTCGCTTGGGCATTTATGGCAAGCTGCCCTCCGTGTTGTTTCTTCGGAGCTTGAAGATGTTTACAGGTTCAATTCTGAGTGAGTCGTTCCATCAAAGAAAGAGAGGCCAGACCGCCGGACTCAAACAAATTAGCAACACTCAAGCAGCTGGAATTCCAGGGTACGCTTGAAATAGTGCTTGGGCCGCAAGTAAAAATTGATGGCGATTCAGAAGGTGCTGTTGATTCTAAGCATTAGCAAAGCGCCAGGCTTGTGGGCGTTTCCTGATCCCTGACAGGTCGTGACACCGAATGGCATGAGCGGTGCGCGAGTGATGAGACTAAGAGATCGATGTGCGTGTGCAGTTGCGTTTTCATGAGCCGGAGTCTAGTGTTTCTCAAGGCCAGAGTTTGAATGCTTGCCTGATGAATAGCAATGCCAGTTCAGCTCTCCTTGGGTTTAGGCTTGAGGCTGGGACAGCTAGGGTGACGGTTGCCTGCAAACGCTCATGAAGGGTCCGACGCGGCAGTTCAAGCGTCGCAGAGGTTGCCTCGAATCAGGCGGTCATTGATTGGTAGGGGGTGTCAGCCCAGAATGGCCTCACGTGATGATTTCAATTGTCGGTGCGGTTTCTTGTCCAGGTTAAGGTGCACCTGGCGAACTGCCTTAAATGTGTTGCCAAACCTATGCCCCAATTGTGCCCTTTCGAATGTGCAGAGGAGGCGATGTAAGACTCGCCTACTGCTGCTTTCTATTGATTCGCACCAGCGTGTGCCCACCGAGGTGACGACACGCCACTTTGTTTGCAGGTCACGGGTTTGAAATTAGGACTAATTCCAAAGAACATGTGAAGCTTGAGCTCATTGCGTAGACAACGCGCATACGTGTACACCATGCCGTCCAGGCTAGAATGTGTGACGATGTCAGCTCAAGGAGTGTGTCATGTCAAAGCCTGTAGCAGTTGCAGAGCAATTCACAATTTTATGGAACGCATCAGCTCCAACAAACCAATCTAAGTTTTGAAGAGAGTCCCAACACCCACTCAATTCGGCTTTGCTTTTTCGCATTGGAGCGGTCACCAAAATCAGGTTTGCGGGTGGCATGGGGCCGGGGATGCG